GATTTTGAGTATTCTTTAATATTTTTTCCTCGAAGTAAAAATTGAAACTCCTCTTGAATTCCTTTGGCTGCTGGATGTGCATCTGTGAATGGGACTTAAAGCAAAGTCCTAGCTGTGTAAGGCTCTGGGGTTTATGTGGGTGACAGATTGTTCTGCATCATTCTCCCCCTTGCCCTCTTCCTCTGATACTTCTCCAAAAGGCACTTCACAATTCAGAGCAGATGCCTTCTCTCTGCAAGCCTCTCTGACCTCTCCACTGGGACTGTATGACCCTCCCTGAGGCTCCCCTGGTGTCCTATGCTTCCCCTCATGTCACCTTGTATTATAATTATTTACCTGTTTATCCAAGTACAGCCTCAGCTCCTCAGAGCCAAGATTACTAAATCTTCAGTTTCATACCACAGAGTCTGGTACCATGCCTATCACACAAGTATTTAGTAATTAAGACAAACTAACATCTCTCAAACTTAAAATTTTACTTGATCAAAAACATGGGAAGAAAATGATTATCTGTTTCCCTTGTCCAGTATAACACAAACTGCATTTCTTGCCTAGGAATCAACATCCGTGTTCTTTCTGCAGAAGCTCAATCACTCTGCTGCTCAGTCTTATGTAGATTTTACATAAACACTAACTCTGCAGTGGGGAAGGGAATGGAAGAGAGAGTAAAAATTTAAAACTATAACTTAAGTATCTTAAAAAGTTACTCCAGAAGATTTGCTGGAGTGTCAAGGTCCCTTGTTGGATGACAAGTCACACAGTAGCAACATCAGCGACAGGTCTGTGTGAGCACCTCAAAGGATGGGGTCCTGCCAAGCTGTGATAAGGGAGCGGGCTATGACATTATAGGTTTTCTTCTCTGTCTTCCAGGCCACCTAAAGTATGCCAAAGAGCTCAGTGGGACTTTGGACTTTAACTCAAGGTGGGAAAGGAGAAAAATACACTTTAGCTTAGAATTGCTCAGGAGTTGCCAATTGACACATAGGTAAAAAAAGAAAAAAAAAGAATTGCTCAGCAGTTACATTGGCAGGAAGTTAATATTTAAAAGGAAAGGGGCCCTTCAGACTGGACCCAAAAGACCTTTTCTCCCATACTCCTACCCATCCCTAAGACATCTGATCTTCACCTGGCAAGTGACCAGCCAGGACAGAGATAGCAACCCATGCTGGATGTCAGGGATGGAAATTGGGAGGATTTAGGGAGGGATACAGAATAAAGAATGGGGGAAGGAAGGGGAAGCTGCAGAAAATGCCAAGGGGAACTCTCTCTGCCAGTCATGGGAATGGGCCACATGGTACACCCCATAATTCTGGACTAAAACTTCACATCCATGAGCAGCAGCTATAGAAAAACCCAAATAGAGCAGAGGCATTACCTCTCCACCTCCACTATCCTATGGACTTGATGTGGACTCACAGATGACTTGATCAGAAGTAAAGACATGATCAGACATCCTCTCAGAGGCTGGTGGGCTTGATCACTTTGTTATGGATCATGTCCCCTTTCCCACCCCAAGGCAGAGATACTAGAATTATACAGGGAAAGAGAAGATGCTCCATTGAAATCTGCCATGCAGCAGATGAGAAAGAAGCAAGCTGTGAACAAAGTTCATCTTGTTGGAAATCACCGACACTACCCACGATGTGCGGAGAAACAAGAATTAAGGGAGAATATTCAGCCTGTCCATCTGGAGACTGGTAGTTCTCTTGGGGAACAGAAATATTGTTATGCTGCATTTTCCCACTCCTCAGGGTAGCAAAATCAAGCAGGCTCTCTGATTTACGGTGCAACCAATTTACTGTAATGCATAGGTAAATAAACAACATCTCCCAGTGGTCATTTATCTTGGCAAAAACAATAAAAATCATGGTCTTTATTATGCCTGATTGAATGTAATAATCTATCAAACTTCCTTGATATAAAAAGTAATGTACTTAGGCCAGGCTTGGTGACTTCCACCTGTAATCCCAGCATTTTGGGAGGCCAAGGCAGGCAGATTGCCTGAAGTTAGGAGTTCAAGACCAGTCTGACTAACATGGTGAAACTCCGTCTCCACTAAAAATATAAAAATTAGTTGGACATAGTGGTGGGTACCTGTAATCCCAGCTACTTGGAGGCTGGGGCAGGAGGATCACTGGAATCTGGGAGGCAGAGGTTGCAGTGAGGCAAGATCACGCCATTGCTCTTCAGCCTGGGCACCAAGAGCAAGACTGCATCTCAAAAAATAAGACAAAAAAAAAAAAGTAATGTATTTTTTCAGTCAGCCCTCCCTTCCCTTGGCTCTGGAAAATTCAAATGTCACAACCAAGAAGAGCCCTATGCCCTAGAATGTAAGCTCCACAAGGGCAGGAAACATTAACTGTTTTGTCAGAACTGTGTCCCAAAACCTAGGAGAGTACCTGGCACATGTATTTCTCAAATGAACGGCACTCTTACCTTTCATCCCCCCAGCCATATCTCATATTAAAAAATTATAATAAAAGGAGCAACCGTATCTCTAAGCCAGTCTTTCTCAACCTTGACCTTAGTGACAATTATTTGGGGGGTTTGAGGGAGGCCACCCAGTTCACTGTAGGCTGTTTAGCACCCGTGGCTTTTACTCACTAGATGCCAGTAGCACACACTCCACCTAGTATGGCACCAAAAATGTCTCCAGACAGGGCCAAAAGTCTTCTAGGGGGAAAATCTTGTGGCTGGGAATCACTGTTCTAGGCTGGCAGAGAGCTCCCAAAGAGCTAACACAGACTGTGAGGACTGTTGTGTTTTCTGTCTCATTCATGATGCTGAGACAGCATCTGGGGAAGCCCTTCTCCCTGCCTGCTCTCTGAGGTGAGTGCACCAGGCAAGCCTGCGGTAGGAGGAAATACTGGGTAATGAAAATCAAGTAAATGTCTTGAACACAAATGAAGGCTGAGATGTAGGCCCAAGCCTTGTCTGTATTCGACAGGAAAAACCACTTTACCGCTGTGGTGGGAATGGACTTGGGTTTTAATGATCTTCTCTCCCTCCTCCACCACAGGGCATTAAAACAGCCATACATTGCACCAGCAGCAGGGCATCGGTCAGCGGCAATCTCACTTAAAATCCAGCTTGGAGCATCTGCTCCTGCTCTTAATTAGGAACAAGGCTGGGATTCGTTAATATCCCCACAACCAGTTCAAAGGGCTCTTCGGAGAATAGGCTCTGCAAAGCATTCCCAAGGCCAGGCACAAGCATGAGGAAGGGCAGCACCTTCTGCTCCCTGGCTCTGGGTGAGCTGTGGGCTCTCACATCTGTTTCCCTGACCAAATTGAAGTGGGAGCCAAAAAACTTTCCTCCCAATCGGGACTCTGATGATCATGCCTCACTTTACCTGTGCTGATTTAGTACTTGCACATAACCTGGCATGCCATGTTTCCATCAAATTCTTCTTCTTTACCAATATTCACTGATACCCATAGCTGGCAAGGTTGCAGTAAAACACATATTCTACAATTCCAGAGGTAGAATCAGTACCAGGTGATAACATACATTAACGGCTTTTAAAATACATGTGATGGCACACTGAGCATTGCTACTTTTGGATATATATCAAAAGGAAAATAGTTGTAAATGTAGAAAGACTCATATGACCAAAAATATTCATCACACAATTATTTAGAATAAGGAAAAAAAAGAAACGGCCAGTTGCCTCCCATCAGATAGATACCTTAGTTTTGTATACTGTGGCATATACTCTCACTGGACTCAAATACACCATTAAAATGTCATTTACAAAGAATAGCACCACACTAAAATGTTTATGCTTTGTTATATGAGAAAAGACAGCCCCAAATCATATAAACAGCATGATATCAACCATGAAAATAAAAACTTTAGTATTCAAAAGTCTACTGGAGGCAAATAGACCCTTTCCAAAAAGTGTTCAATGTGAGTGTATTTCAGAGGGAAGTAACTTATTCCATTTTTCTGTATCGTCTAACTTCTTTTTTTTTTAAAAATATCTTTTTCTTTAAATTGGGAAAAGAGCAACGTCAAGTCAAAAGAATAATGGAAGACCCACCGTTAGAGCATAAATATATCCTTTCTATATTCCCTCTATACTAAGGTATCTTTGTCCCTAGTACTTAAAACCAACCATTGTATCTTTAACTGTGTTGCTTTCCTCCCTCAACTGGAACATAACTTTCATGAGGGTAGGCAAATGTCTGTTCTGACACATAATTGATACAGTTTTGTTGAATTGGATGTATGAGTTAGATTATAGGATTTCTATTTTTAATTTCTCAATCAGTAAAACAAAAAATGTTGCTCCCAGTGAACCTTTGTATATGAATGAAAGAGTAGTTGGCACAACCAGTTTGGAAAACTAGTTAATTGCATCTCTTTAAGTTAAATACTCACCTTTCTTATGGTGACCAGTGGATTCCCATACCTAGGTGTGTACCTGAGAAAAATGTGTATGTAGGTTCGCCAAAAGGCATGCCTCAGAGAGTGCTATTATGTAATAACCAAAAACTGGAAACTAATTACGCCTCAACAATAGGACAAGTAAATAAATCGTGGAATATTTATACCGTAATGAAAATAAACACACACACACACACACACACACACACACACACACACACAGCATAAAAAATTTAATGTCAAAAAAAGAAGCCAGACATTTAAAAGTACATACTCATTCCATTCATACAAGTAAGAAAATGGGCAAAACACATCTATGATGTTAGAAGTCGGTGACTGCTGGAGCATGAGATGGTCGTCACAGATGCTGGTAATATTCTGTCTCCTGGTCTGGTTGTTTGGGTGTGTTCATTTTGAGAAACTGCATCAAGTGGGACATTTATAATGTGCATCTTTTGAGCTCTGCATGCTATGCTCCAATGAAACACACTCCCTACCAATCCAGGGCTGCTAAAGACAGGGCGTGTTTTCCATAATTACCTCTCCATGCACTACAGCCCTTGACCAAGAGCCCTGACAAGGCTAAACTCGCCACACTTCAGCATTTATGCACACACAAGTTCTGTCGTGTCTGAACTCTCCACCTTGATTGCACAGGCCAGCACCTTCCTGTTTGCCTATTGGCAGTGTCTGCACCCACAAAATTGGGCAAAATAACGGAGGTTGCCTAATGTTTTCCAGAAGACTTGAGGCAAGCTGAAGTGACCCGACCACCAGAAAGATTCAGAGATGTGGCCCTGGATCACAAGAAGGACAATGAAGGCCTCTGGAGGCCCAGCTGAGCAGAACTGCTCAGGGCCATTTGCAGAGTAGGCCCTTTTCTTTGCAGAAAAATCTCCAGCAGGATTCCCTGACCTCTAAGCACCTCTTTCTCTTCACTTTGTCTCAAATAGAAAGCCTGCAACCTGTTCAGGGGACAGGAATGTTTGTTTCCCCTCTGCTACATCCTAAGTGCATAGCACAGTGCCTGGTACATGGTAGCCTGGTCAGTATCTTTGGTATGAATGCATGAACAAACAAAACCTACTGAATCAGTACAACAGGATCTGGTTTCTAAAAAGGCAAAGATCTAGGACCAGACGGCCATGGAAAGAAGCAAAATATTCCAAAACACACATGAAAGGTCTTTCTGAAGTAGGAATTTTTAAACCAACAATTCTGGCATGTAAAAATCTCACAATTTCTCTAACAACAGTGAATACAACATTATTTTTATCTTTATCATGGATAGCATTTGACTTTTTTGTTCACTGGAAGTGATGCAGGCCTCATTCCAGGTGGCTGGACAAAGGCTCCAGACCAGGTCCAGAGCCACGACCAGGCTGGCTGACTCAGATAGGAAGTAAGGGCTTGGCCAGATGAAAGTACTGATACCAGCCAACCACGCCCACAGAAGTCACAAGGGAATCATCATGTCCAATGAGCATGGAAAGACCCAGAAATTCCCCATGTTCCCCTAACAATGGAACAATGGAAAGACCCCAAATAGTCAATAAGTCTGGCCAATAGACTTAACTATTTCTCCCTCTTGGCAATATTTTTTTTTATCAATTTTAGGTGCCATTAATTTACCATTAATTAAAGGAAATTCAACCAGCTGGCGTAAGGAACATTTGAGAGTTTGTTCGGTAGGTACAGAATGACTTCAGAATGAAGAATACTGCCAAGTCTGGTTGATGCTCATAAATTTTCTAAACTTTGATGACTCCTTTGGTGGAAGGAGGTGGCAGGAGGGTAGGTACCTTCTGATCTTTCAAAAAAAAACAAAAAACAAAAAAGTCTGGTCAATCAAGAAAAGAATTGACTATATCAAAAAGAGCATCAGGCAATGTCACCGTCCAGTCCCTATGTCTCAGACTCCCTCTGGGGTTTCGACTATCAGTATCTGCATCTCAGCGCCCAGGAGTAAACACAGTCTGTATTACATCCACCATTCCTTGTCTGTTACATACCCTTAACACCGCTTCAGATTCAATACTCTTTTCACTATAAACTAAAGCCAATGCCAGAGTCAATTTCCCTCATTTCATCTGTGCAGAAAACATAGCAGTTCTATTAGAGAAGATACAAAGTCAGGACAGAGTTGGCTAGAATCAGGCCTTTGGAGACAGATTTGCTGAGGTGATCCCCTGGAATTTTGTCATGTAGAAGGTCCCACATCAATTCTACTGTGCTCAAGTGTGCAAGCATCCCTAGGCCCTGGCAGCCAATCAAGACCCAAATGTTACTCCATTCCAGGAATACCTCATGACAATAGCTGTTGCTGAGACCTTTGTAGAGTCACAGATTGGAAAACAAGATCGTTTTTTTCTGATGTGAATGGTAGCCCTCTTGGCATAAGGGGAAAATACTGCACTCATATTAATTTATTGCAAGTCTTCAAGATAAAATGCTCATTTTGTCTAAAATGTTATTATTCATTGCAGCTAAATGGTGTTGACTATTTGGGATAAGTAAGAATTCTCTAGGATTTTCCTAAAAATATAGTCTGAGAACTACCTACATCATAATCACCTAGACTGGGCTAGGCTTAGTGGATCGAGCCTGTAATCCCAGCACTTTGAAAGGCCAAGGGGTGCGGATCACTTGAGGTCAGGAGTTTGAGACCAGCCTGGTCAATGTGGTAAAACCCTATTTCTACTAAAAATACAAAAATTAGCTGGGTGTGGTGACATATGCATGCAGTCTCAACTACTCAGGAGGCTAAAGCAAAAGAATTACTTGAACCCAGGCGGCGGAGGTTGCAGTTAGCTGAAATGGCACCACTGCACTCCACTCTAGGCGACAAAGCAAGACTGTTTCAAAAAAAAAAAAAAAAAAAAAAAAGAAATCACCTGGACTGCTCATTTAAAATGCAGGTTCCTGGGTGCCACCTTTGACCTTCTAAAGACTACTCGGGACTAGGAGGATGAAATCTGCAGCCACCTTTGACCTTCTAAAGACTACTCGGGACTAGGAGGATGAAATCTGCATTTTAAATAAACCGTGACAGTGATTTCTCAAGACTGTAAAGATGTTAGTCTGAGAATGCCACTCTGGGTATCTTTTCTTTTTGCCTTGGTCAGGCCTCTCAGAGCTGAGTCAGAGTGTGACTCTATCTGCACAGTGGGACAGAATTAGTACAGCTGAAATAGAAAACGGAGGCCTCTGCTCTCTGCACGTTTGTTTTCTCCGTGTTTTATTTGCACAAAGATTGCCTGGAACACCTGCAGTAAGTTCCGCTTCCCTGCTCCAATCACAGGCGCTGGTGGACTTCGCATAAATGACTGCTCACCCACCTCATAATGCTTCTGGGGAATGTTGATGGTACCCTCTGTAGTGTGATGTGTCCCAGATCACACAGGAAGGGTTTGGGAATCATTACAAATGCTTGTATAGTATGTCCTCCCTTCCTCCCTTGCCCCAGAGAAAAGTTAGTTTTAAAGGATCAAGTGAGAGGGTCTCTGGGGGGTATATTTTCATAAAACCATGAGGAAAGCTATTCAATCAAGTTAACTTGGATCTTAGCATTACCCTCCTAAAGGAATCCCCAGTAATTCACAACACCAGTCTGTGAATGCATCTTTCATCTCCCCAAAAATAAACTATTATCCTCGTGTCTGTCACAGGAACGGTTGGCGGACTCAGACCCAAGGGCTAGAAGGTGCACATGCTATCCAGCACTCCCCATGTGGCGCTGAAGTAACTGCATGCATGTCTGTCTCTGCCGCTAAGCTGATTCCTGAGCGTGAAAGTCTTGCTTTTCATCTTTAGCCTCAAAGCAACAGTGGAAGGGGAGGAGGTAAGACGAAAAGGGGAAGGAGCGGCCCCATGTATACTAGTCTCATTTTTAAAAAATAAACTTCACAGGTCACCATTCTGTCCAAGAAACACTTTGATGTTCTTATTTCTAAACAGCAGTGGGAACTGTCGGAGTGCTAAAGCCCAAGACATTTGCCCACAGAGGGAAGGGAAAACTCCAGACCACGGACACCAGAGTGAGAAGGATTGAGTGGAGACCAGGGTGAGGGATGTTTACACAATAGAGATGGCTGCAGAAGATGACACAGAGAGCCACAAAGATTGGGGGAAAGATTACAGGCCATCTTCCCAAGTACCTGGGCCATCTGTGTGCCTCACCTTTTGCAGTTGACTCATTCCCCTGCCCCCAAATGTGTGTTAAGTTGAAAATGTGGAAGTGTGCTTTTAAATACACTAGGAGAGAGCTTGCTACTTCAGGGAACCCTAGGGCAAACACATCTGGTAGAAACACATCAAGGTCTTTCCCACTTCAAGATCCTCAAACCCAATCTCTCCACAGCCTCTCCTCACGTGGTTCACTGCCGTCGTCCTGCAGGGCTCAGCTTCAATGCCCTTCCCAGGGAAGCAGTTCCCATCCAAAATGGTTAATGAGTTCCTCCTCCCCCTTCCCATGACATGTTCTGAGAGCATCAGTGCCTCCGCCTGGTAGCGCTTTTCTCAAAGGAACCTAAACGATTATTTTGTGATTATTTGTCTACCACACTAGACCATAAACCCCAGGAAGGTATAAACCTGTCTATCTTCTTCACCCAGCGCCTAGCAGAGGCCTGGCACATAGCTGGCATTTGAAGAACATCTTATGTGCAAACAAGTTACCCTACCTGCATTAACTATTTGTTACTGCTGGGTATCTCCTAAGCCACAGCCAACCTGCTTGGGCTATAGTGAATAATAGGTTCTCTGATGACCTGTAAATGATCTGGAACTGAAGAACTGGGTCTTTGGAGATAAAGATCAAAGGTCTGGCCAATCCTACTAGTATTCTCCTTTGGTTCTAAAGCCAAATCTGGCACTTGGGGACTGCCTGAATGCCAAGAAGCATGTGCTAGCCCCTGCAAGAACTTCCCCAAGCATAGTGATGCCAACATGATGCAAAATCAAGACCAAATTATGGGCACCAGGTGTACAGAGGGTGCTGAGAACACCGTGGTAATACAGAGGCTGGTTGGATCATTTGTCTCAAAATGGACTCCCTCCCCTGCTGCCCCTAAAGCCTGCCTGGGACCATCTGCAGGACAAGATGAGGTCTCTACCCCTTGAGATGGGCTGGAGGCAACTGAATCAGAGCTTAACATTAAAGTGACACCAAATAGTGCTTAGTTGCATCACGGGGCTCCCAGGGGCATCCTTCACATAAGTGGGATTTCAGGCACAGTTGTGCACAAACCCCATCCCAGATACTTCATGATGAGAGTTGCCAGTTTGGGGGAGGGGATTCCAGCAAGAACGTGAAATATGATGGCAAAGTCTTCTGTGCCAAGAGCTACAACTGGAAAATAACAAAGAACGGGCCATATGGAACCTCACGCAGCCTTCCAGGCTGGCAAGAAATGCAGTGAAGACAGGCTCAGGATCATGGAACAAACTCCCCCAACATGTTTCTAAGAGACAGAAAGCAGCATCTATAGCTGAGTGCCAACAACTCACACTCATAAGGCAGAAGAGAAGCTCCCTTAAATTAAATAACTACAGAACACACGAATTAAAATAGATACACCAGCCACTCAAAGATCACAAGCACCTATTTTGTGCCACGTGCTTACTCAGTCCTCCCAACAAGCCCCACAATGCAAGTATCGCCATTCCTGTTTTACAGAAGAGGAAACTGACGCTCTAGCCAAAGACTTAAGCTTAGCTTTGGTAAGACTGGAATGTGATCTCAGGTTAAGAGTGGGCATTTACACCATGACATGACTCAGTCTCAAAGAGCTTTTCACGGAATCAGAGATTGTGCTGGAATTGCGAGGGGGGTTGCATTTTCCTGCTGGGTTCCCTCTGCCTCTCAACAGCACTGCCTTTGTTAGTATCCATCATCATTGTCAATTACTAATAGAGTGAGACATACACATTCAAAGCTAGTATGACTCACTCTGCAATGACAGCCCTCTCCCCTTGCCAGAAATGTGGAAAGTTCTGGTCTGGGACAGTACACTCAACCACTCATTCGTTCCAACATTCAATGAGCAGCTTTCTGAGTGGGGCTCTGTGGTAAAGGTCTCGAGGACACCGAGCTATATACGATGGTGTAGCTTAAAAAGAATTGCAAAGTGGCAAGGTCCCAGCTTAGAGATAGGAGTTAGACTAAAAAAAAGTTTTTCAATATGTGTGACCCCCAGAATTTCCACCTCTCAAAGACTATAAACACATGTGCCTAGTACGCTCCTAAAAGCTTTCCTTCCTCAGGTTCATCCAAGAGGTTTGCTCAGGAGGCAATTCAAGCCAACAAAATGCTTATCAGCCACCTGCTGCGTGTGAGGCATGACAAGACTTAGGTTCTTCAGCAGGCATCCAACTATTAAATAAGTTAAAATATAGATATATACAACTATAAATCAAGGGATGCTACCTAAAAGTGCTATAGGAGTTGTTACAATTAATAAAAAGAATAGCCTCTACTTACTATTTATGATGCCAGACACTGTGCTAAGAGTTCACCTGCATTAACCAATTTACTCTTCATGCTAAATCCATAAGCTTGGGCAATACAGTGGACATCTGTTGACAAGTGCCCATCAGGCAACCATTTCCCCTTGAAAAACTACCCTTCTCCCATCCATCAACAGTGGGATCCAATGAAACCTCCTCCACCCCTTTAGTCCTAGGCCCCAGCCCTGAGCATATAACCCAGGCCCAGACAATCAGCATATTCTACTAACTTAGCCAAAGTAATTCGTGGAGGAATGGGTGCCTAATGCAGGGAAATCTGGTAAGTCTCAGTTCTGGGACTTTTGTTGGCACTATTGAGAACATGAAAACTCTATGATGATGCAGATTTGCAGTTGCTATGAGCCACTACATGGAACTAAACAGCCTGAGCACAAAACCAACATAGGAGAAACGAAGCCCAAAGATGGGGAGCAGGAAGGCAGAATGAGACACACACAAACCCCTCCTAGTCCTACCATGTAACTTGAGCCCCTGGATCCAGCCTTACATTAAACCACGGCTTATTAGAATTTTTATATACAAGTGAATATGTTTTCTCTTTCACTTAAGCCAGTCTGGACCATATTTCAGTCACTTGCAATCTAGAGTTTCACCAAGAGAATATTATTATTACTTCCTAACAAATGACAAGTCAGAGGCTCAGAGATGATAATCTGAGATTGATTTAAGTTAAATGAACTGTGTATAAGTTTTTTTATGGGGGAAAGGCACAATAGTAGTGTGCATTTAGACCAGAAACCTGCGAGAGTGCCAGCCTGCTCAGTTGCTTGGAGCGTATCCTTTCTCTCCACCTACCAATGCAAGGTAGAGACAGGCAAGTTGCCTTGCTGCGGCCCCTCCCCTTCGGGGTGAGTTTGTTTCTTGTTTACCTCTACACAGAGGGTGTAGCCCTTTGGAATTCCAGCTTTATGCCGAGGTCTACTAAACTTTTCAACTGGGCACTCTCTTCCCCCTTGACAGTTCATTAAAATGGTGCATCTTACCACTGGAGGCGTCTCATGCTGAATGAAATGTGATGGACAAATACTTGTAACCTTAAGTGAATTATTTAATCTCTTACGGGAAATTTCTTTTGTTTGTAATTATCTCACCTGTAGAGAGAAGGCCTAGTATAAGTCTGGGTGTTACGAATTTTCCAAGGAATACGGGCAGTCGCCCCACCACAGGAAAAGTAAAATTAGTCATCTTGAATGTATTTGTGTTTAGATATTGTGTTTGGTTTGAAACATTATACTGAGTAAATCAATAAGAAGTGATGATATACCATTTAATTACTAACATTACTTTGCCTCCTCAAGGAACATGAAGTGGTTGAGTGAATGATGAGGTTCCACTCCTCTAGGCAAGTATTATGGGTCCATTATCCATTTGGAGTCACTTCTTAGTTTTGAAACTGGCCTCATCAGAATATAGGAGAGCACTTATCGTCCCAGCGGTATGGTTCTATTGAAGTACCATGGAGAGGCCTGGGAAGGTCAACCAGGGCAAGGAGCTCTGCCATCTAAGAAGACCTAGCTTTTCTCTGGCAAGGGCACACCGAAGGTAAGGACAGAGAAGTCAAGAAGGCTCTCAGGCCTATCAACTTTTAAACTGTCCCTTTATAATGATTCTGTGAAATAATTATTTCTATCAATGGTCAGCTAGTACAGGGGATTTAAGATAGTGGGTTCATTAAAGAGAGTCAGGATCACAAACTCATTTAAGCCTCCTCGAACCTGTTTAATCAAAATGATTTTCTGCTACTCTCAATTACAGGCCAAGTTTCCGTGGTGACAGATTAATGACTGATCCACTAAGCCATACCACCTTTTGTCACCAGTCCCACTGACTAAGCCAGCCACTATTTTATCAATAGGCTCCACTTGCCCTTGAAACTCATTATAGCTGATATGTTAAGATCAAATGAGCAGATCAGATGCTCACTGCCACCCCAGTTCTGCTACAGAGACCACCAAATCCCACAGAGCATGTGCCAGAATGAAAAAGAACAGAAGCTGGTCCTTGTGCTCTTATTAGAATTACACACTCAGGTCACTCCACAGTAAGATAAATGCCAGCCAAGGCAACACTTCTGATTCTTCGGGCCTGCTAAAGGTAATTATCCTAAAGTTAAATGTCAGGGCTAGTTTCATGTGTGCAAAAGAAAGAAAATGTCATGTTTGGTGTAAGCAACAATATTATTTTAATCAAATCAGAAGCTCATTATGAGACGATAAGCCTTGACATGACCCCAACAATACACTATGTCCACCTGACTTCCCATCCCACTTTGTCTTAACCTAAGGTTATTCATGGATTGCCCTCATTCATAAAGCAGGAAAAAGTTGCAATGTGCTATCAGCAGAAGCTTGCACCCCAAATCCACTCAGCTCCTGATTGGCTGTGGTACAGTGAGAGCCTAGAGTGAGATGGTGTGGTTCCAGCCCCAGCTCCTCAACATCTCAGCTCTGTAATTTTTATCAAGAGACTTAACCTCCAAGAAAATAGGAGATGATCGTAAAAGTACTTCTCTCATAGGATTGTGTGAATATTAAGTGAGATAATATATGGAAATTACCTTAAACACTGTCTGGCACACTCAGTGCTCCATAAATGTTAGCTATTACCTATTTCTGCAATGTTTTAATCTTTCAGTTACAACCAGACTGTATTATGTTCATAGAAAAAAAATTGTTAAAACAGAATAAGAAGTCTATGACAGCATAAGTTAAAGATTTCCTCTAGCAAACAAGAGGTTACATGAAAGAAGAGATTACATTTATTTATCTTGTTCACTCTTATAACCCAATGCCAAGCTGACGGTAGGCAAATATTTGTTGGAATGAATGAATGTACTGATGGAAAAAGGAAAACTTCCTACAGTAATGTTTATGGAAAGCCAACATCAAATCAGATTCAGACAAATTAGGAGAACAGTTGTGGCATCTTGATTCCTCAACCTCAAACCATGAAGGAGTTAAATGCATGTCAGCTAAAGATGGAGAATTATTGTAAAACTTAATACAAACATCTGCTTCTTCATCGCCTCTGTAACATTGTATGTGTACAAAAGTCCAGGCCTCCATCTGACTAAAACTTCCCAGTTGCTAGTGTTTATAAAAGAATAATGATGAAACTAATAGACCACAAATACATTTACGGGCAATTATCTGAATGTTGTTCTATTTTTCCTGGATCTGTAACTCCAGGGAATAAGCCATGGAGTTATTCTAAAAGCTTTACTTCTAAAAATAAGGGGGTAGTAGGTATTTACACACCTAGAGCAATAGGACACTTTCCAAAATGGTAAGTAGAGGTTGCCAAGTCCCCTCTAGCAATGTCACAGCATACCCAAGAGTCAAGGAAGATGGAGCACACACCCGACTGTCATATTCATTTCAAAGTTGACCCTGCAACAACACCCAAGGGCTACAATCAACTCTCTAACAATAGCCCTTACCTTTCAGTTTCCCAGGTTCAAAAATCACATCTGAATATCCCTCCCCCAAGTCCAACAAAAAGACAAGTCAGAAGGCAAGAAGTTTTCTTTCACAATGAGTTTCAAAAACTGACAATCATCAAAACGATAATTGTGGGATACAGCCTTTCAAAGTTATCAGTAGCTTCAACGAAACAACTAAAGAAATAGCAAAGAAACTGGGGCTTTGTCAATCTCAAGCAAGGCTTAGCTCAGCGAAAATGATCAGGCTGGCTGAGCAACTGCAAGACGAGCTGAGGCTTCATTGATTGTCCACTGAATAGTGAGTTTCTACAGAAAGCAACTTCTAACTACCTGTTTCCAGGCTCAGGCTTTGTGACTATTCCAAGGACTTGCCCTAAGAGTGTCTGGTCTGCGTTTCACAACACTTTAAAGAGGTTAATGATATTAAATTATGTCTGAGCCACTGTTAGTGACAGGTGACTCCATAAAGCATATAAAATGGATGACACTTGAAAATGTTGGGGATTTTTTTTGAACATTTTTAGATGTTTTAGTGGTATGCTGCATTATCATTTTTTAAAATATATGCTGCTAAAAATATTAGTCTAACATCTAAAGCTGCTCCAAAAACAAAAACAACAAAATAGTGCATTTGGACATCAAAGCTTTTCTTTTTGCTGTGTCTTGGACATTTTTACACTATCTAAAGGCAGTATTTCCTAAACATTATAAGAATAACCTAGTATGTGTGTTTAAAATATGAATTCCCAGCACTCACCCCAGAAATCTAAAGAGTACTTCTCCAGGGGAGGATCCTAGATGCTGTGATTTAACAAGCACTTCCGGTGAGCTTCATCCTCAGTCAGGTATGGAAATACACTGATGCAAAGATCTAAAAATGTCACCATCATCCATAAGAATTATGAGAAATGAAGAGAAGCCCAATTTTTAAAAATTTAAAGCTAAGCAGGAATCCAGAATATCATGCTTATAATACACTGAGACTAGAAAATCTTGAACAGCTTTGGAAGCACAGTAAACCTTTCCACAACCCAAAGACCCAACAAGCGCAAGTGTTTTCATCCCAATCCAGCTGCCAGGAGCACCAAGGCATCTGCAGAGCTGGCTCTTCACTTCTAATCCTGGCTCAATTCTTCCACCTTTAGCAGAGTTGAGCATCTGCCCTTCTCCTCAACTTTATCCAAAATGGAACCATAGAAAAGTAAAAACAAAACAAAAAGCAAAATTATCTCTGCCCCAGGTGAATCCTTCATGGTTTGGACATCTTTTTCAGTCATAGGCAAAGGTTATCAATGCAGGATTCTCAGATCTGAGCAGTTAACGGAGCAGGTCAGGAACGGGGCAATGAGTGGCAGGAATCTCACTGGGGTAAGGGAGGAGAGTGGGGGGAGCTATCTACTGCAAAAGTAAGACCCCAACAGTTACTATGTACCAATTAAAAACTTTTAATGAAATTACAGTTTTGATAAAAGGCCCCAAATAACTGTGGCTATTCACTGAATGTGTTTGAAATCCCCCTTCCAAGAAAAGCAGCCCAACCTCAACTAGAAAGAAGAAAAGGAGGAACAGAGAGGAGAGTGATAAGCCCCCACACAAGGCTCTGAGTGCATCTCCTCTGGATCAGGATCTGGAAAGGGTGCTCTTTAGAAGGTGCATAGAAACATCTGGGATTCATTCAATTTATCAAATCCCCTCTCCCTGCAAGGCCTGCAGATACTGGGTGCAGGACTCAGAGAAGTCCAGTGGAGGAAGCTGACCTCCACACATACCCCACCTCAAATTCTCTGTAAACTATGCCCTGCGATATTAACAAGGGGGTCTGTGGCATGGGTCAAATTACCATTTTTAAAAATACATATGCTGCTAAAAATATTAGTTTAACACCTAAAATTGATCAGAAACAAAGAAACTGCATTTGAACATTAAAGCTTTTCTCTTTTTACTCTTATTCCTTGGGCACCTTTACAATATTTAAGGCTTCTCAGAAACAGGAATTCCTAACATTAAGTACCATAAAATATGGTACTTCCAAGTCCCCTGGAAGGGCATGGCCCTGGCCAGCTGGGGCAGTCCTTGAAGGAGCTGGCAGCCGCTCCCACAGAACAGAGGAGATGCCATCTGCTGGAAAGACTGCACCAGATGCCTCTTGCCCCACATCCCTGGGGCACACCTGGGGAATGGCAGCCAGCCTTGGGGCAGAAACCGGCCACAAGTGTGCTTCTGGGTGTCCGGGAGCAGCTTTCTCCACCCGCAGGGCTCCCTAGGAGGAGCAATGCTCTGCCATCCAGGGTCCCTTTCAGGGCAGGGGATCAACTGCACGGGCTAGCTGTTCCTGTTTCAAGACTCCGAGGGTCAAACCACCCCACCTCCCCTGTATTTTATCAGGCCCATTGCCATAAACCACCCCCCCCCCACACACACACACACACAACACCTGACTCCCCCATAGACAGCTGGGACTCCCAGACCTAACCTCTCCAGCAGGGACTCTCCTGACACATCCTAGGGATGGTCCAAGTAACCGCTGCCCCAGGAGGTCTTCTCGCGAGCTAAGCAAAGTCTACCACCACGGTTAGGAGAAGTCGAAAGCGCAGGGAACCTCTTTCTCCCCAGCTGCTGGTGATCTGTGCCGTATTTTAGTGCAGTCACCTCCCCCAGTCCTACAAATACACACACCTGGACCACAGGTACCAGGCAAGCGCATGGAGCCTTCGAAGTTCTTTAAAGTTCCTTTCAGGCAAGACAGTGCCCAGGAAGCAGGGACCGACCAGCCCCCGCGGGAGATGCGCACCTGCCCCCCCAACCCCGCTTCAGGGGTGCCCTCTCCGAGAAGCTCCGCGCCCCCCCCACCCAGGGCCGGGTGGCGCCGGTACTCACGTCTCGAAAGCGGTTCCAGTACTTGTCCCGGTCGTACTGGGAGACGGTGCTCAGCCACTGGTCATTGTCTAGGAAATTGCCGTGGTTGGGGCCCGCGTCCAGGTGCCGGCTCTCGACTTGAAGGAAGCACCACGCCGCGGCGGCCGCCGCCAACACCGCGATCGCAGGCATCTGCGGGGCAGGGAGCGCGGGGCTGTGAGCGGGGATGGCGGGCGGCCGCGAGCCCCGGGCACCCGGGCGTCCCAGCGCCCCAGCCCGGCCCAGCGAGGAGGCAGGGACTCCGCGGCGGGGACGGCCAGCGCTCGCGCACCTGGGGCCCCTGTCGCGCGTCTAGACCCAGGGACCCCTCTCACGAATGGGGGACTCAGCTACGAACCTGGAGGCTGCGTCACGAATCGGAGGCTGCCGTCCAACTACGGGGACCCCTCTCGCCTATTCTCCGAGTGCCCCACAGATGCCGCCCTCCTGTCAGGGGCTTGGTACCCCTCCCCAGAAGCTAGGAGCCCGGGTCCGCACGCCGCACTCCCAAGGACGGTGCACAGGGCTTTGGAGCAGGGGAGGGGAGAACAGGGTTCCAGCAGCACCCGAGCTCCGGCAAGCGGGGTGGGAGCTGCCTGCAGCTGGGGGTCCCCGGCCACAGCTAAGGGAAAGCCTCCCTCGCGCGCCCTGCGGCCTCGGTGGCAAGAGGGGCGCGCGGAGGCAACCCCGGGCCCTGACCCTGCCGGCCCCCCAGGCGGCCGCGGGGAGGTCCCAACTACTCCAAGTTGGGGCGCGGGGTAGCACTGGGCACGTACCTTGGGGGCCGGCCCAGGTCCCCGCGTCCGAGTTGCTCGAGCTCCCGCGGCACCGTCGCCGGGAAGGCTGATCGCCGGCTCGCGCCCCTGCGCTCCTGCCACCCGCCGCCGCCGCGCGTCCGGCCGCTTTGTGAGCCCGCAGCGCTCTGCTCCGCTCGCTACCTCGCTCGCTGGCTCGGGCGCGGCGTCCGCGGGCGGAGGAGCCCGAGCGCACGAGCCAGGGCTCTGGCGCCCCCTGGCGGCCGCGCGCTGCCTGCCCGACAGCCCGGCCGCCCCCAGCCCGGAACGTGGTCATTCGCATCTTCACGCAGGGCTGAAATCAGCTTTCAGGCTCACGCTGGTGCGAGACAGAAGAGGGGACTGAGGATATAAGGCCAAGACGCGGGGCAGCATGGAGGCATTCTCAAAAGGAAGGCCGTTGGGCTATCTAGATCAAAATCACCTGGGTGGAGAGAGGAAAAAGCTGCTTAAAAATGAAGATTCCTGCCCTGCCAGCCCCACTTGCTGAGTCAGCATTCCTTAGGAAGGCCTCCAAGTCTGCACTTTCAATGAGCTCCCCAGGCGTTTTTTATGCACAGCAAAGTTTGAGAATCACTGTCCTGCCATTCCCTGGATAAGTGAATTTCTGCACTGCCCATCCCAAGTCATGCACGCACCTGCATCTCTGCACTCCATGCTTACCACTGTCAGTCCCTTAAGACGGCCCCTCTAGCTTCCGTGGCTGTTAGTTCTACATCCTGTGTCCCTGTGTTGACCCTGTGGGTATCCCGTGGTGTCTGCTCCTGTCCTGGCCCTTGAGAACCGGCGCCAACTGACCTGTTGGGTTCCCCTAGATGGGAGGGAGGGGAGAGAAGAAAAACAGATCAGGCTACAGGGACAGGACACTGAGAAGCAACAGGCTGGTTCTGCCCCAGCCCCCAGCCCCTTTCCAAATACCCAGCAAGGTTTGATGAAATAGTGCTGGAAGGGACTTAATGCCTTCCCCCGCCTGTATACAGGTGACACTGTCCTGTCACCTTTCTCTGTCCAACTACACCCCGTTCCCCAGACACCTGAGTGCTCTTGGAGAAAAAGTCTGACCATCCCATCACCCCTCTCCCCTTAACACAAAATTCTTCACAATGCTTTCCTGATAAACATCAATCTCCTGGCTGGAGCCCCCAGGCCCTGCACATCTGGCCCCTGCCTCTCACCCCTCACTCTCCTCCTTCCCTGACCTTCTGGATGGGCTGGCCCTGACCCCAGTGGAAATAGGCTCCCTCCATCCCTGGGCATTCACTTCTCCCTGGGCTGCTGTCCACACCCAGCCCCAGCATAAGTCTCATTAGTTCTTCTCTCTGCTTATTCATCCTGACTTCTTCAGAGAGGCTCTTGCTCTGCCTGTGGACCAGGCCAGCACCTGCAGCGATGCTGTCTTTGAGAACACAGCACTTCTCTGGCTGTTAGCTCACTTGACATCACTTACTCCACGTCTGCCTCCCCACCTGACTGGAGCTCCTGAGGGCAGAGACTGTGTTTGTCTTGTTCACCACTTCTCCCAGTGCCCATAGTACAAGCTCTTGACATGCTGTTAATGCTCAAAAAGTAGTTGATAAATGAATGAATGATTTAATGAATGAATGCCAGCCAGCCATGTCTGGAACAACAACACATCTCAGCCAGCATGCCAACAACAATGTAAGGTGTGGTCAATAGTATGTTCTGCTACAAATAATTTGGTTACATGGAATAGTTGAATGTGTGGAAGTCAGCAGATCTGTGGTTATCCCAGCCTTACTCTGACTGATTTGCATTCCTAGAAACTTTCTCAAAAGGGAGAAAAAGGAGTGGAGTCACAGCTACTATGTTGGGGACTGCACATCATCCACGGTTTATTTTATCATGGAATGCTGTGGGTGGGTGCATCAGAGTGGGAGAGAGGTTTAGAAACGATGAAGAGACTGTTTCTTATGTTCATAGAAACCCAAGTAAGCAGCATTTCCCCATTTATCTGCCCAGTGTAACAGCAAAATTTCTCCAAGGAGTTGTCCCTAAATGTCACTTTTGCCTCCTCACCTCCAACTCATTCTTCAACCCACTCCAATCTGCCTTTCGTCCTCACTAACTGAAATGACTTGTCACCATCAGCAGCCTCCTCCAAGTCACCAGACGGAGTGGGTACCCTCGATCCTCCCCAATATGGTGGCCTCTGACCAGTTTCCTTTGTCTCCTGTGGCTCCAGCCCTGCTGGCTTTTCTGTCCCCGCCCCCAACCACCCACCCACCACCGTCATTCCTGATGATATTCCAGGGCTTCTCGGGGCTCAGATCCAGCCCTCTGCTCTTCCCCCAAAACCCTGCCCGAGTGCAGTCCTATGCTGAGACCCTCCAGGTACACTTCCAGCCTGGAAATTCCAATGACTTCTGACTATACCTCCAGCTTCATACTTTACCTCTCCTCAATGCCCCACAGACACGTCAGACCTGTGACCAGGCCAAAACAGAAGTCTGGATTTCCTCCATGCATCTGTGTTCTCCGTTCATCTCTGTTACAGTGAATGTATGCTCAACCATATGGCTGCTTAAGCCAGAATCCCACAAGTCATCTCTAGTTCGTCCATCTCCTCGCCCCTCACCTCCCATCCATCAGGAAGGGGGGTCCATTCCACTTTCAAACACCCGCTGAAGCCACCCACTTCCACGGACACTCCTGAGTTCACAAGACCATCACTTCTCACGCAGAGAACTGCAGTCCTTCTTGGCTGGTTTCCTTGATTCTCTCCTTTCCCTTGCAACTCATTATTCCCCTAAGGTGAGAGCAACCTTTTTTTCAAGAGAATCTTCTCTTCTTAAAATTTGTGTGGGTACATAGTAGGTGTTTGTATTTACAGGGTGCATGAGATGTTTGATGCATAAGCATCACATCATGTAGAATTGGGTATCCATCTCCTCAAGCATTTATCCTTTGTGTTACAAACTATCCAATTACATTCCTTCAGTTATTTTTATTTTTTTTTTTTTTTGAGATGGAGTCTTGCTCTGTCACCAGGCTGGAGTGCAGTGGCACAATCTTGGCTCACTGCAGCCTCCGCCTCCAGGGTTCAAGCAATTCTTCCACCTCAGCCTCCCGAGTAGCTGGGACCACAGGTGCGTGCTACCACGCTTGGCTAATTTTTTTGTATTTTTAGTAGAGACGGGGTTTCACCGTGTTGGCCAGGATGGTCTCAATCTCTTGACCTCGTGAACTGCCCATCTCAGCCTCCCAAAGTGCTGGGATTACAGGCGTGAGCCACCGTGCCTGGCCCGGTTATTTTTAAATGTGTGATTAACCTATTGACCATAGTCACCCTGTTGTGCTATCGAATACTCTGTCTTATTAATTCTTTTTATTTATTTGGATCCATTAACCACCCTCACCTTCCCTGCAACCCCCCCACTACCCTTCCCAGCGTCCGGTAACCATTCTTCTACTCTCGGTGTCCATAAGTTCAATTATTTTAATTTTTAGATCCCACAAATACATGAGAACATGTGATATCTGTCATTCCACAACTGGCTTATTTCACTTGACATCATCATCTCCAGTTCCAACCATGTTGTTGCAAATGACAGGATCTCATTCTTTTTATGGCCGAATAGTACTCCATTGTACCTATGTAGCAAGCTTTCTAAAACAGAAATCACTCCCTTGCATAAAACCTTTCAATAGCTTGCCATGACAGCAAAACAAAAATTCACATTTCCTCCCACGACTCACAAAGCTTTGCACCATCTAGCCCCTTACCTCTGCCCTTCTTTCCCTAGATTCCAGCCACATTTCTTCTCATGGTTCTGCAAACTTAGCAAGCATAGGCCCCACAGGTCCTCCCTTCTGGCCAGGCCCCCTGCCCATAGTCTTCTCTCCCTGTTCTTCCCTCTCCCTTCCTTCATAGCTGTCAGGTCTCACTCAAATGTCACCATCTCACTGAAGCCTTCCCTGACCACACCTACTAAAATAGATACTTCCCTCCCAGCCACATCCGTATTCTCTCTTGTTGTATCTGGTTGCTCAGTCCTTCCTTTAAGAGCATTTTATTCCTTTATTATCTCTCTCTTCCTCAATTTGAATATTAATTCTGAGAGCACAAACACTGTCTTTTTTTACTCCTGTATCCCCGGGCTAATCTCAGAACCTGGCATTCAGTGGGCCCTCAATAAATATTAGCCAGTGGTTCAACACATGAAGCAAGTTCCATAAACCCTTAATGCGTCCTGAAGTATGAAAGCCTTGTCTAGGGCCATTTCCTCTGTCCTTAAATCCCTTGTTCTGCAGATCCAAGTTCCACTTTCCTCGGGGACCTGTCCCCAGTTTAATCAGAGGGCATCTGCTGTTAGCCATTCTCCAACTTCACAACTGGAATCTTCCCCATAGCCATCCCCTGCCTGGGAAGGGTGACCAGAGGGGCACAGGCAGGTGTGGTCGTGCTGGAGCTGGCCTGAGCCAAGGAAGGACATAACCTTGGAGCGAGGGCAAGGAGGCTGGGAGCTGGAGACCTGCCATCAGCTCCGCCAGCACTCGGGGGGAGAAATGGCAGATTTATTCAGCCATGGGAAGCACCCGGGACCAAAATCAATACTGAGCCTTGGGGCTGTATTTCTGCTTTTCATTGGCTTATGCACAACTATAATAACTCCTTGTTTTAACATAGTTCTTATTTCCATGAGCCCCACGTGTTTTATTTTCAGTTTAATGGATCCTCAAACATGTGCTACTGGTAGTCAGAAGCAGACATAACTATCACCATTTTATGCTGAGGCTAGGGGAGCGCAGAAAGGCTAGATGAATTGCTGAAGGTCACGCAGAGAGAAAGATGGACCTACTTGCAGAAAGCTTTAGGTGTACCCCCATCCCCTGTTCATGACGCTATGCTGGCAAGAATCAAATCACCCATTGGGCTCCATCCAATAAAAGAGGTGCCTATAATACCTTATCATCAACCCAGATTTATTTTTAGCTGCAAACTCATGTATCTACCTGCTACATGCATCTCCATTTCGCTGTCTCATTGGTATGCTCAGAATTCAGTGTGTCCAAAATTGAACATTTGAGCTGCATCCCCCTGTTAAACCTACCTTCTTTCCTGTGTCCCCACCTTGGGGAAACCACTCCCCACCCCACCCAGACCCTGGTGTCACTCTGCCCTCCTTCTCAGCC